AAAGAAAAAATGGTAAAAGAAACCAAATGTGTGTTAGGGGGGAACAAAACACACTCACCCCCCAAAAAAAATTCAATGAAGGAAAACCAAAAACAATACAAAATAAAAAAATATCAATCTGCAGAAAAAAATTCTTGAGTCATTGAGTGAGTGATTTCTTTCCAAGATCTTCAGTCTTGGGATCCATCCTGTCCTATTTCCTATGCTTAGCTTTAGGGCCTGTGGTTCTTTGAGGTGCCTTTCTAGTCCCAGAGGCCCCTCTGTCCATCCCACTAGATTTTTACTCTCTAAACCAGGGTGTGTCCCTGCTCCCAGTGGTAGATGGGGAATGTGGCCAGCCCTCTGGTCTCTACAGACTGTAGTCCTTAGGGTGGGGTTCGAGTGGGCCGTGTGACTTAAGTCCATAGTTGTAAGGTCTGGTTGCTTCCTTCTCTCCTTGGTGCTGTCCTCCAGGATAAGGTCTACTGTCCCCTGCCATGGGGAAGCAAAATGTAAGGTAGAGTTAGAGTTATTAGGTGGCCTTGCCCTTGGGTCAGGGGTACCAAACATCTGGGAGGGACTTGCTTATTTGTGGGGGCAAGGGTGCTGTTCTCCTGCATGGGTCCCTTATTCTTCCTGCTTTATTAAATGAAAGGTAGAAAACTTCTATTTTTCACTTCTTTGCAATGGCGTTGTCCTCATCCTCCATCAGGTCAGCCAGGTGGTCAGCTCTTCCATGGCCCCTTGTGGAGGGGAAGTGGCACGGGGAGACAGTTGGCCAGGAGTTGGTGCTTGGTTGCTGCTAAGGTGCAGAATCCATAGGGCACAACTGGCTCTTCTAGTCTTCCTAAAACCTGGGTACTGCACTGTCATAGTTCATCCATATCTTTGTGTGTGATAGTGTGTATTTATTTTACTGCTGAATAATGTTCCAGAGTGAGATATTTGTAGGAGATGGCTTTGGCTTTCACTATATAAATATTGTTTGTATGCCTCAGCTGAAGGTGCGTTACCATAAGAGGTTGCTCAATCCAGGGGTGAGTCAGCAGACACTTTAAAGGGCTTCATGTGTGTACTATGGTACCAGCCCCTGCAAGGTTTATATAGGAGCACCGCCTAGTCAGTGCTGATGTCACACCTGAGATGACACAGATGGGTGCAAAGGCGTGCACAGGAACAGAGGGAGAGCATTCCAAAGCACTAATGACAAGGAATGAACAGGCTCCGTGGAAAATAAAGTTATTGTAAATAATCAGGAATTTAAACAACTTCTTGGAATTTCAAGAGGTCCGTTTGGTGGAAGGGGATAAGCCATGTTGTTCTGGAGAGTGACAATGCCTGGCTGGATTTGCCTTATGTTTCATGATCATATTAGATCTGTTCTTGAGTTACTCCCAGATTTAGGGGAAGAGTCTTAAACTCTTGGTTGGGAGGTTTTCCTCCTCTGACATTGCAGCTATCATGCTGTCAGACTGGAACTTAAGGTTCATTGCCACTCTGCAGCCCCTGCCCCAGTTCTAGACTCCTGCCCCGCCCACCAAGCTGGCTCTTGGTTGATGCCTCCACGTGTCCCCCCTCCAGGGGTTCCTTGTCTCTCTGCTCCCAGTCTGAATTCCAGTCATTCCTTTGGTTCCCAGCTGGGTCCTGCTTTGCTATGAAGCCTTTCTATTTGTCTTCCTTCCCTCTCAGAATGGCTGTTGTATGACCACTTCATTTGGACTTTTCAACCAATAAAGGTCATACAGTATATTGAGGAAATCACTTAAAATTTAAGAAAATAGACTAACAAAGTCAATTTTTATCTTTCTTTCATAAATTATTTGGGCTCTAGGATGGCATATGTGGGAAAAGATGTGCTTAAAACGAGTAAGACGAAGTAGGTCTTAAAAACATTTCCTACAGTCATTATGCCATTTAAGTGAGAGGAGCTGGAGTTTAGAACTCATCACCTAAGCATCTGCTGCCTCTCTGTATCTAGAGGTCAAGGTCAGCAGAGCTGCCTGGTCATCTCCTCGTGGTGTGGCCATGTGGCAGGCAGTGCAGGTGCCAGTGGAAGTCACTGTCTGGAAGGGCCTTGCCCCAGCTGGGGGCCTCATGGTGCTGTCCAGGATCCTCCAACCTCAAACTCCTTCTTTAACTGGCCAGATTATTAGGGGTGGTTCTCCCTTTCTGAGTCAAGAAACTCAAGAGCAGTAGGTCAGGTAAAGTGAGATCTATTTTCAAAGCCAAGTGTCCTCAGGGCGGGAGCAAGGTTCAGAGTTGAAGGTTGCTGCATGGAAGTAAAATGAACTGTGGGTCTTTGACATAGTGAGTTTAGATAATCAGTGGGTTGGGGGCCCTCACTAGGACAGTCACTGGCTCACAGAACGGGACTGTCTGCACATGCAGAAGACTGTGTTTGTGTTCAAATGGGGGTCAAGGTTGTGAAGTCCTTGTGAGTTTAGCTTCTATTTTATTTTTTATTTTTTTTGGCAGAACTGGGGATTGAACTCAGGTGCCAGGGAAGCACTTATTCCACTGAGCCATCTCCCCAGCCCTGAGTTTAGCTTCTAAAGTCATTCTATCTTCACCACACTCTGCAAATTCTTTCTGAAAGGCAGTTTGAAGCTATTCTAACTTTTGACCAAATGTCTATTTTAAAAAATCTAACTGGTAAAATTCATCACAGAAGTGGAATCTTTTGGCTAGTTCTGCATTTCCAGAGCCTTTCATTCTAACTTTTATAAAAGCATGCCTCTCACAAGTGTCTTCACTGTGGAGTTATTATGATATCAAGTAACAAGAAAATTAAAAAAAAATTCAACCATTGGTGAATTAATGGTTAAATAATTCAGTGTTTCCTTATTGTGGGATATGATTTGGGTGCTAACAAATGAGGGCTCTGTGTATGTAAAGATGTAAATAAAGGACCAGAATAACTTGTGGTGAAAAATCAAAGTATACACACACGCACACAAGTTTGTGTCAGTGTGTACATGATGGTTTCATTTTGCTCAGAAAAACCATATATATGAGCATAGACTGCTTAATAATAACACTTGGCACTATTTATTAATTTTTTATTAGATGACAATGTGTTCTACATTCATCATACCTAATTGACCTAATATAGTTCTATTAGTGCTATCTATGAGGTAGATTGTCATTTAATGTATAGATCAGAAATCTGCAGGCTGGAGAGGTTAGGAGGCATAGCCCAAACTGCAAGAAGTTGGAGGCAAAGCCAGGGCTCCGGCCTGAAGCCTGTACTTATAACCCCGTTCCACCTGTACTGCTCCCTAATAATATATGTCTTAGAAAGATCTTGAAGCATCTCAGGATTGTTGTGCTGCATAACTCACAAGAAAATGATGTATGTGACAACACTTAACTGTGCCCCCACACTCCTCAATACTCTGACTGCAGGAGCCCCTGGCACACATTTCTGGAAGCACCTCTTGTCTATGCAGGGCATCGCCACAGAGTGGCCATTGTACAGTTGCTACTGCTAGGTTAGAGTTCAAATTAAACATTAGCTCACATTGTCTCTGGAAAACTAATGTTCCCAAAAGACATTTACAGAGGGACAGCAATGTTGAAATTCTAGGTACAAACAGGAAAGGTCTTGTGTGCCAACAACAAGCCAGTTGTGTCTAGAATCCCAGCTGGATTTCTCCTATGTCTATCCCTGACCAGCAGCCTTTTCCTCTCCAAACTTTCAGGGGTGCTGTGCCTAAGGGATTCAACCCACTCTGTTAAATGCCTTTAATCAATAAGTGTATGTAAATTCCCTCCTATTATTCTATGAACAATCCTTTAATATGATTTTGATTCCCTGAAGAGACTGGACTGCTACTTAGGACTAGTTACTAAAATTTCAGAATTTGGAGCACTAATGCCAGAGACATTGAAATGCTTGTATAAGTACAAAGGAGGTTTTGGCCACCAGAATTGTGAGTCTGGGCTACTGAATCCTGCCTTTGCTTCCCACTGTCCAACCTATGATGTATGCAGTTTTCAGTGATTACTTTGTATGGCACTCTAGAGGGGATTGGCATTACTACCTGTCCTCTTTCTCTGTGACCTCTGTCCTCCCCTGCATATGAGGTTGTAGCCCCATCCCAGAGCAGGGGAGAGTGAGCTGAGAGATGCTGTCATTTAGTCTATGAACTAAAGATATAATCTGGTCTAGTATAGTTTTGGTCAAGGCAAAAATAACGAAGGGTCATGTGAACAAGGTATTTATTTAGCGTACAGAACTGACTGTATAGAAATTCAATTTATTATTATTACCTGGCAGCTGTGAGAACTGGACTCTAATAACTTCTATGTAATGAATTTGTCTCTCTGAAGTCATCTCCAAAAATAACAAAAACCCACTGTTCTATATTAATTGCCCAGGTACTTTTTATTTATTTTTTAACACCTTGCTTGTTAATTTGCTTGCAGTGCCTTAAAGAAGTAGACAGTTTAGACGATTTCTCTTAGTAGAAAAGTGTGGACTCAAACACTTTGACTTCGAAATGCATCTGTTGTGTAACACCGCAGCTGGTTCAGGGTGCAGGTTTGCCTCTGCAGGCCTGCAGAGGGAGAGGGAGGCTGAGAGGGAGGAGAGGGAAAGGGAGAGGGAGAAGGAGAGGGAGAGGGGGCGAGCCCACTCTGGACAGAGGCCAGGGAAGGGGCATGTACCCACAGGGTCACCCAGTGTTGCAATCTTAGCCTGAACCAAGTCCTCTGGGAGAGAGTTTCTTGCTTTCCATTTGTACCTCTGAGTAATAGGGATTGTCTGTCTCCCAAAATGAGATGAAAGTGCTGGAAGAATATGTAGATTAGCTGGAGAGCTGCAGGGAAATCTTAACAAAGTTTTAGTTCTGCAAAAGCCCTGCAGCCTTCTTCACCTTCCCTGGGCCAAGTACTTCAAACTTGGGGCATCAGAACTGAGGACTGAAATTCCCCAAGGTGAGAGGCCTCCCCTCTGAAGAAATGGACTCCTCCAATGTCCTCACATGATTACTCAGGTACTTTCACTTTTCCATATATAGGTGTCACTCAGGAGCAAGCTCTGACCAGCGGAGGGAGTGACACATCCTTCTCCACCTGCACCTTCCCATCTCACCCATCTTCACCTTGCTGTCAGTGCCCCCAGGCAGTAGGCAGGAGCCCTCCCTGTGCCTCTGCCAGAGATAAGCTTGTTGAGTTGGTAGAGAAAAGCTTGGGCGAAGCCACAACATTGACACTGTTACCTTGGAAAAGGAGTGGAGAAAGGTGAGACAATGAATGGACCTGTGGATGGCTTATGTGACCATTCTCTAATTGAAGAAGGAGCCTTCATGTTCACTTCAGAGTCTGTAGGAGAGGGACATCCAGGTAAGTGAACTGTCCTGGCCTGACTGCAAATCCATCCTCCCCAGCCTGCACCCAGGGAGTCATTTACCAGTGATTTTATCAATGATGGGTGTTATTGCAATAGCGATCTCTAGAAAGACCACATGAACAATAGCTCATTATGAAGCTGAGGGTCCATGCAGCTGCCCATCACCAGAATGTCAACATAGCAGGCCTGAGACAGAACAAACAATAAGCATAAGATACTTACCAAATGTCCCATCAGAGCCTAACTTTTTGTTTTTATTTGAAGTGAAGCTTTTATCTGGGATCACTGAGCAATTTAAGCCAACAGAGAATGTTCCCCAAACAAGGCCAGTTGGTCGCTAAGTTCTGCATGTGAGGCCTGTGTGGTACAGAGATGAGAGATTGGTGCTGAGTTGGGGCTCAGGGCAGCTCAGGCATATCACCTTAGAGAAGTGCCTGTGACTTCCTGAAGAGGAAAAAGAATTGGAGCACTGTTTTCCTTCCTGAAAGGCAGGCAGGCTCTGATGTGGGACATGAGTGAGGCTTCCCTGGTGACACGATCATACCCAGATACTCAGAGCTTCCAGTTGTGGGACTGAGAGGGTGCGAGGCCTCAGAGTGTGTCAGCATCTTCCAAGGGCCTGGAGCAGCAGGGTGCCATGCCTCACTCTGTAGGTCTTGGGAGGGGCTCCGGAAATTGTATTCTTAGCAAGTTCCTGGGACATGCTGCTGCTGCTGGTGTGGAAACCACACTTCAGGACCACTGTACCAGGAGAGTCCTGGGGATAGACCCAGAGCTGTGTGTTCCCGCACTTCTTCAAATTCATTCGAGAACTTGAGGTGTGTGGTAGCCTATCTCCCAGTCCCCCTTTTCCTATCTTCCTCATGCTCATTCTTTCCATCAAAGATTTAACTTTTATAACTTGTAACATAGCTCTGGTCATCTCAATGCACTGCTCCTCGTACATGTGTCATGCAGTGGTTCTCAACTGGGGACAATGTTGTCTCCCTTTCCTCCAGAACATATTGTAATATCTGGAGATGATTTTGGTTGTCATAGCATGAGGGAAAGGAGGAAAGGTACTCCAGGCAACAACTGGATAGAGGCCCAAGCATGCTGCTAAGTTTTGCCTTTACAATGAGTGAGACAGCCCCACTAGAAAGTGTTATATGGCTCAAAGTGTCAGTAGTGAAGCAGTTGAAAAACCTTGAATTAGACTGCTGTTTATGAGACTTGCTTAGTTCAATGCAAATAGCCTCTTTCACTATGCATAAATCTATGGATAAACTTTGTAGGTCTCCTGTACTTTAAACCTTGGATATGGCTGTGTCTAATATACTCTGGTCATCCCACTGGCTTATGAAGGTGACATGCAGGTTAGGAGAAAGATTTTCAGCTGGAGGAAGTGAGTTCTTCGGCACAGAGTAGCTAGTGGCCCTAGTCATGGCACACTGTACCTAGCAGTAATGTGCTCAGTGAACAAAGAATGACAATTCCAGTCAATCTGTGGATTGTTTTGTTTCCTGACAGTCTATCAGGTTCTCTGATTCTGCTCTTATACTGCATTTGCCAGTATAAAAGTGAACTGTTCAAGGAAGTCAGATTCTTGTAAGGCTTAGTGACTTTGGTTTTGCATTCTGTGCCCATCAGAATGATACACTTTCATTAATTAATTAATTAATTAACTGCCGGTTCAGCCCATCCTGGGGGCAGGGCTGGTGCTCATGTGGTGCTAGGGATGTAACTGTGGTCCCTGAGTGCTTGCTTAAGCTTGTCTAAGCAGGCACTTTAGACCACTGAGCTATCTCACTGGTCCACAATTTATTTTTGGAATTTCAAGAAAAGTGACTCTTGGCTATTATCTTGAGGCTACTGAGTAATAATGATAGAAGTTTTGGAGCCTGTAGAAACTTCAGAAAGGCCCTCCTCAGGCATTATCTTATCTGAGGTACTGTCCCATGGCTTTGCTACACTCTGGCTTTGTCTCTGTAGCATTGCATTTACACTAGGTCCTTTAAATAAGCTGAGACACCAACAGCCTATAAATAGCGTCTAGGGACTCCAGTGGGTAGGGGTAAGTGGCTATCCTCTGCTAGTTTTGGGGTGTGTCAGCTGTGGGCAGTCTTGGTAGGTGTGTACAGAAACTATGCACTCAGATGAACGTAGATTTACAGTTGGGATCTGCCACTCACAGGAGGGTACACAGAAAAACCCAAACATATACTTAGTAGTAGTTTCTGAAGAAGAAATTATAAAGTTAACCTTTGATGGCAGATAAGACAAACATGGGTGCCATTGATCTTTGGCAAATATATATAAATTTAAAACTCAGTTGCTTTTTTAAAAAAAATTTTATTTATTTACTTATTTGTGTGTGTGTGTGGGGGGGGGCAGCTCAGCCCACCAGGGGGTGGGGCTGGCTGGCATGTGGTGCTGGGGGATTGAACTGTGGTCCCTGTGCTTTGCTAAGCTTGTTCTAAGTAGGTGCTTTAGACCACTGAGCCATCTTACCAGCCCTACTCAGTTGCTTTTGAGATCTGGTTGATTCTGGATCTGGAGTCTTAAAAATAAATTAGTCTATGAAGAGCACCCATAAGTATGAAACATAGTATACGGTGTGATGTGTGTAACAGAAGTCACATTTATTTCTTCACTTGTGATTATTCAGCTTTCAAAAAATGTAAACAAGCCTGCAGAAGCAAGCACAGGGAATAGGGTTCAATCCCAGGCACCACATGCTGTGCTGGTCCTGTCCCCGGGCGTGCTGAGCTGGCCACCAAGTCCAGGTGTGGTGGTGCACACCTTGTAATCCCAGTGCTGGGAGGCTGAAAACAGGAGGGTCACTACAAGTCTGAGCTGTGTAGTGAGACCCTGTACCAAATACATATAGTTTTTTTAAAAAAGTAATAAAACCAAAGCAAGTATGGCCTTTTCTACAGTGGTATTTAGTGATCTACATGTTAGACCACATGTCTTCAAGGTCAAAGAGTTGCAATAAGATCAAGTCTAGCTCGGGATGAGCCCGTGTCATTCCTCTTTTAGCTGCTGAAAGACAACCCAGCTATTGAGCCATCTGGTTTTCAATGGCCATAACAGGCTCTGGAAGATGCTTAGTGGAATGTTCTTCAAAGGAGCAGTGATGTTCAGAGTGTTCTTGGGAGAATTCTTGGGCTTTTTTTCTTTGTTTTTGTGGTGGTGGGGATTGAACCTAGCCCTGAACCACTGAGCTACATCCCCAGCCCTTTATTTATTTTGATATAAGGCCTTGCTAGATTGTGAAATTCCCCAGGCTGATGTAATTCTCCTTTTTTTCCCCCAGTAGCTGCCTGTAGCTAAGATTTCATGTGTAAGCCAGCACCATCTGGTCTTGTGGGGTTCTTTGTAGGCAGAGCTATGTCCTTTGACGTGATATTTTGTGTGGTGCAACGCAGATCAGCTATTTGTCCCATGTGATTTTACACCTTGCTACCTAATATTACAGATGTTACTAAGGACTCGAATTCTTTTTCTAGGAAATTTCTAGATATTAGAGTTAAAAAGAATGAGACACACTTTAGTTAGGGATAGGTATGTGCTGCTCTAGAGTCTTAGAAGAGCTGATTTTGAAGCATATTTCTTCTAGAGAATTCTGTAGTTTATATAATGTATACCTTCAAAATGAGGAAGTCATGAAAGCAAATAAAAATTTCAGAATATTTCTATTTTCTTATGTGGAGCCATATGTGCCGTCGGGTAGGTAGAATTGATTTGTGAACCGACATAATATCGAATTTTAACCTTTCTGTTGCACTCATTCCCTGTGTGATGCACAGCCATGTTCATTCTTGTCCAGATAAGATCTGTGACCAGATCAGCGACGCAGTTCTAGATGCTCACCTCAAGCAAGACCCCAATGCCAAGGTGGCCTGTGGTGAGTGACCCCCAGTTCCTGGCTGCCTGTGTGGGTGGGCTGAGATACTCACAGTGGGGCTGAGGCTGTACCGTGGTAGAAGTCCACGTGCCCAGCGCTGCAGGGTGGTCTTTGTGATGTGGCCTTCCCATGTTGAATCAGGGAAGAAAACTGCTTCCGACCATGAAACAAATTGGTAACCATCTTCAGTGGGAAAGGGCATTAACTGTCTTCCTCAGTAAAGAGTAGAGTTGGATCACGGCAAGGCCTTCCTGACATTTGATGTTTATTCAGAGTGGAGGGGTCTTTCAGAGTTCTGAGATCAGTGCTCCACATGAAACCAAAGACTGTGGAACTGCAGAGCTGCCCAGAGGGCTACAAGTCACATTCTGCTGTAAGGACCTCTGATGGTCATGCAGAGTTGTAGGGAGCAGCTGAAGCTGGAAATTGCTCATATGTGTGGGGGCAAGATAAGGCCAAAGTGCCTAAAGCAATCAGCTACCTTGGTCCTAGGAAAACCATCCTGTCTGGGACTAGTCCAGTTGTTTTTGATAGGCAACCTTACTTATATCTGGTACTAACTTTGTAAAGAGTATAGATAAATGCCCCTACAGTGCTTGTTCAGTTCTTCTCCTCCCAGCAGGAGAGAGAGGACCTCCATGTGACCTCAAGCTTGTCTCTTGTCTTTATTTTCTAGATCCCCTCACCATTTTTCCCCAGGACCACTGAGAGCCCAGTGAATCATGACATGGAGTCTGGCTCCTTCTCTGCCTTTTTGTCTTAGCTGATGGTGGTATGATTCAGATGTTACAGTGATCTGTGAAGGGCAGTTTCTATGTCAGCTGCTCATAACAAAAGCAGCAGCTTTCTGAAGGCACATTAATGTCAGGCCCTACTTTGTCTCTTGACAGCTCATGCAGGCTGAAAATCTTTGCTGTTATTTGTGGAATAAGTTCTTCACCCCTTGCCAGGGTGGAAGCCTGAGGCACAGCAGAAGAGCCAAGGACTCTGGATCCTTGGCAGCTCAGGTCCAGCCATGCACTTCACTGAAGGGATCAGGGGGCCAGTGGAGCAAGGCCTTGGCCAAGGCATGGGGCAGCACACTCAGCGATGAGAGCAGAACCCTGCTATGCTTACCATCAACACTCTGTCCTGCCTACTATACAAAGCCATCCCTCTATCTCTGGTGGCATTGTAGCCCCTGTGTCTAATGCTTCAGGGACCCTTGACTCTCAGAAGGAAGATCACATGCTGTTATCTTTGTAAACAGCTGGAGGCAAAGATGGTTTGTCTTGCTATTTTGATCCAACTCCCTGAAGCTCACAGTGGAGTTTTAACAATACTTAGGGAGGGGGCAGGTGCCTGTGTTCACTCTGACAGCCACATACAACCGTGGTCTCTTTTAACCCACACAACAGCTTTAGAGAATCATTCTTAGAGTATTTGAGGAAACTGAGACTTAAGTTAATTATATTGTCCAAGATCAGACCAACAGTAAGTATAAAGCTGAAGTGTAACTGATTCTTCTCAAAGTATCTTAATGCAGGTAGCACCTGGTGATGCTCAGTGATTGGTACTGGGCTTATTCTTTTTATTGGCATTGTTATTTTCTTTCTGGAGTCCATTGCTCATGAGATGTCTCCTGATTCCTTCTGCTGGCATGTGGCTGCTAACCTGTTCCCCTCCTTCCCTTGCAGAGACAGTGTGCAAGACAGGCATGGTGCTGCTGTGCGGGGAGATCACCTCCATGGCCATGGTAGATTACCAGCGTGTGGTGCGGGATGCCATAAAACACATTGGCTACGATGACTCTGCCAAGGGTGAGGGCCAGAATGCTTGCTGGTTTTAGCTAAGGAAGCCCTTGCTGCTGGGCTGAACCTGAGCCTTAGTTTTAGAGGAGTACAAGTCTTACCTAGAGAAGCATCATAACTAGACCCATTTGTCAGGTGCCAGGGGTCTAAAGCTTGGACAGGAATATTACGGCTGAGAGGGTAGGGCAGCAGCAGGGACACTGCCCACATGCGCCCATGGTGGATGAGTCTCCTTATAGCCCTGCTTTCTCAGTGCTGGAAAGAAAGCAGCAGGGAATGAAGGGAGCTGGCTCCACTGGAAACATGCCCTCTGCCAGGCACTGACTTTGGCCTTTTGATGAGCACCATTTCCCTTAATCATTCTAAACTCTAATGTACTTCTTATGAAGATGAGGAAATTGGGGATTGGAAAGCAACCTGTAGGTGGCCATTGGCGAAAGGCCACCAGGTTGGGAAATCCACCACTGGCACAGAGAATGGCGTTGCAGCCTAGTTCTGGGACTGAGAGCAGAGAAGGAGACAGACTGGTGCAGGTCAGTGCCCCTGCCAGGAATGTGGGAGCCAAAGTGCAGAGGAGGGACCAGCCTGGCAGGGACCAAGGAGAAGCGTTGCTTCAATAGGCAGGTCAGAGCTAGAAAGAACGTAGAGCCTTAATAAATATTTCAGTGTCTAAACCAGGGTGCAGGGTCTTCTACTGAAGCCAGGGGACTGGAACCTAGGTCTGAAGGATGCACCATTCCACAAGAGCATTAGGGCCTTGTTCCTACACTAGATTTCTGACCCCAATTCTTAAACATTCTTCAGTAAACTCAGACAATTCCAATTTTGAGAGAAAAGCTTTCCTTTGGGCTTCTGCTGGCTCTTTCTCCTCTCCCCAGTCACCAGGATGGCTGGGATGCAGCCTCACAAGGCCCAAAGCCCATTGCTGCTGCTCGCTGCTGCAGTTGCTGGGTGCCCTGCACTTTCCAAGCCCTGACTCTCTCCCTCAGGTCCCTGAGTTGTTTATCCACATCACTTGGAGTCTTGCTTGGTTTTCAGTACTGGGAAAATTAATCATACAGACAGGAAGTGATTAGGCAAGATGGAAAATGTGTAGTCCCTGGTGAGAGCACTTTGACAGCTCTCTAAAGATTGCTCCTTGATTTGCACATTAAGAATGCTCACCTGGAGCAGGGAAGTGCAAAGTTGAGGGTGACCTGGAGCTCCTGGGCCACGGGCTGTGGTGTGTGGGAGAGAAGCCAGACAAAGCCTTCCAGGGAGACAGACCTACTGAGGGAAAAGTGCATTGCTTAGGGTCACCCTGGAGCTTGAGCTATCTAAAGAAGTTTTGGTAGCAAGGGGCATGTTGTATAGTGAAGGTTGAATTTTCTATTCTTCGGGGTAGATCCCACCTGAAGCTTATATATAAAGCATGGGGTATACCTGCGTAGAGGCTGGCTGGTGGGGCTTAAGGAGAAGGTCAGGATGCTCGTGGTGTCTGTGATTTGGCTCCTAGCAGCAGCATAGCCCAGCATGGCCAGAAGGACCAGCTTCCTCGTGGCACTGCCTGGACAGGTCCATTGTCCATCATGCCAAGAGGCCTGGCCCTCCAACCCTGGGCCACAGTGTGGCACTGAGGGGCCTTCACTTTCCTATCTGCTGCAGGCACTGGGCACATCTTGGGGTCTCAGCACCCCAATTCTGTTGAGATGGTTCATGTATGCAATATTTGTTCAGGCATTTAACCCCTGAGCTTCTGAATGGCAGTGCTGGAAGGCCCTTGATTTTCACTCAGTGTGGTGATTCTCAAACTTGGTTCTGAAGGACTCCTGCAGGACAGCAAAAGACACAGGGCTACAAGTCACCTACCTGTTCATCACCAGTACAGCTCCTGTGATACCTGGCTTTTAGGTCACAATTTCAAGTAGCTAATACTTTTTAAATGTGTTTTTTGCTAGTATATATTGTTACAAAATAATAGGTTTATGAGTGATATTTTCATAGGTGTATGTAACATATTTTGACCCTGTGATATATACCTTTCCAACCAAGTTATAACTGAATGCAGTAAAATGTACCACAGAGAGTTTTCTTGACTGAAGAGTTCAGCAGGATGGTGTGGGAAAGAGACATGATTTTTGCATGTTATCCTGGGCCTTAGCTATGGGCCTAGGCAGACCCCAGCTGGTCAGAGACCACCTACACTGACACTAAACACTGTGCAAGGAGCAGAGTTATCCACTTTGCTGGCTTGACACTAGTCCCCACTCAGGCATGTCTCCCCTCCACCTAGGCTTTGACTTCAAGACCTGCAATGTGCTGGTGGCTTTGGAGCAGCAGTCCCCGGATATTGCCCAGTGTGTCCACCTAGACAAAGATGAAGAGGATGTTGGTGCTGGAGACCAGGTATCTCAGGAACATGGGAACTTCTGAGGACATCACTCCAGTATGGTCAGGTTGTAACCCTCTTGGAGGAGCTGAGGGGCTGGTGGTGTATTCCCATAATCCCAGCTCTCTGGGAAGCTAAGGCAGAATACTTGCAAGTTCAAGCCCACCCTGTGTCAAAATAAAAAAATTAAAAAGGGCTGGGGATATAGCTCAGTGTGAAGGCTCTTCATTCAATACCCATTTCTCAGTACTGCCACACAGACACAGACACACACACAGACACACACACACACACACACACACACACAGAGAGAGAGAGAGAGAGAGAGAGAGAGAGAGAGAGAGAGAGAGAGGTAGATTGATTTGACATTATTGGGCAGACTTACC